TGATAAAGTCTTAATTTAAACAGATGCGTGAAAATATTTTTGATCAATTGGTGATACAACTATTAAAATTGGTCCAGGGATAGCTGAGTTATTAACTTTCAAAATCTTTCATAATTTCGTTACATGTTCCATTTTCGGTTTTCACAAAGTGTAGTCCTTTGTAATAAATGTTTTTTTATTCAGAATTATGAAATTATTGGATGTTCTAATGATATGTTGTACTTGTAAGAAGAGGATATAGAGTATGTGTTTGACTTATATATCCTGTCAATTTCGTTTCAGAGCGTCACAATCAGCTATTCTCTCAGAATGAGCGCTCACAATTCGTAAAATCGCTAATAGTGATGCTCTGAAAGTGAAATTTACATGTTTTATGTTGTGAAAACTTACATTACAATCTCTTCTTGTATCTTACAAGTACTAATTATCATTATAATATCCAATGATTTTATTGTTGAGAAAAGCAATTTTTTACAGGAAATGAATAGAAGCAATTGAATTTTCAATGCATACAATGGATATGCAATAGCCTTAATATTCCTTAAGAAGCCAATGGTAGATTGCTTCGCAAATTTCAATAAACTACATTAAATGACGTTTAGAATGCAGATTCGAAAAAGTCTTTTGAAATTCTGAAATACTGCACGAACCTGGAATATTAAAATCATACCAATACACATTTCAGCATACATTTCATTCAATAATTCCTATGGTTGGCTTTCTGAAAGTTAAGATGAAGATTTTTGTAATCTTTAAAAAAGTTATAAGGGATACATCAACGCTTATAACTTTTTTAAGATAACAAAAATCTTCATCTTTACTTTCAGAAAAGCAAGCTTCTGTACTGCTAATTATTTACAGTTTGAAGTATTACTTTCCCCTATTTGATTTTAACACAGGCATTTACGAAATACACGAAATCAACTTTCTGAATTGAGTTCAACAGCTAGATGTGTTTTCTAAACAACAGAAAAATTAAAAACAAAATTAAACAAAATTAAAAATCAGAAGAAGAGTTATTGAAATCAAGATTAGTACATCTTCTAAGGTGGAAGGAATTGAGATCGAAAGTCGAGATGTAATTATTGCTCAACCAAGTGACAAACATGTGAGGCTCCATAATCGCTGACATTACTCGTTACTGAGTGACAAAAAAGTGATGGAAAACTGACGCTCATAATCGTTCCAGTGACAAAAAAGTAACTCAAGTGGCACTCATAATCGCCCCAGTGAAGTGGCAACCGACAACATCAGCACAGCATCTTTAGTTTAGCGATTTGAAGAATCGACGTAACGATATCCTTTTGTGCCGGAGTGTTGGCTGATGATTGGCCGTGCTGGGTACTGCAGATGAAGCCGCTGATTTGGTTGAGGTTTTCTTGGAAAAAGCTGAAGAGTCCTGCCCGTTGGAAAGGCGCCCAAGTAACAATTCTGGTTTAATGAGGGTTCAGTAAACCATGATTTAGACTTGTAGAATGCTATAAAACCTCAATAAAACTTGCAATGTTGCTTGGGCGATTTTATTCAGGAGCCGGGTACGGATGTCGATAGCGGACAATTCTCGCGTCAATTTTCAAATTAACCAATCTACATTGATCGATTATTTTCATCAAATCTCTCTTTCGCAAATAACTCGGTTACGGAAACGTTTCCTGTCGTCTTTATCGTATTAAATGCTAGAATTTTTGCTGCTGCCATCGAACTGTGTGTCTAAAATATCCGAAAATATCTTAACACGGCCACGATTCAAAGAGAAACTGGGTAAAGAGAATCGTTCAGTTTGGATAGAACCTATTGAAAAATAACGCGAGATATTCTTGTCCTGTTGTTTTTGTTTTTTATGCAAATGACACTTGTTGCGCATGTGTGTGTGATAGTCGAGAGAGCCAGATTTTTTTAAGACTGCGTACTTTTTGAAAATCTCAGATTTTCTTTAATACCCCGAAATTGGCGTATTAAAGTGGAATTGGAGATTCCAAGTCAGGATAATACGCCATGCTGCTTAGAAACATCGAGGATAATACGAGATTGGCGTATTATCCTTGATGGAGCTTACTGCTGTAAAAGTCAAGTATGTGATTTATTTTTTTATTTTATAAGCTTGTGTTTGTCTTGTCTCGATGAGTTTCATCGTCGCTCATCATTGACAGTGGGTCTAGCTACAGGCAAAGTCGGTGACAACTCACTAATGAAGCATTCACAAGCTGATCCTTCTTCAAAAATGTCAACCCTCTTCTCGAGTAAACCGCGAGTAATCGGTCCTATCCATACAAGAAACAAATTTATGCAGAACTTGTTAGATTTAAAAATGAATAATTGGCTCCGTAAAGCTAACGTGATTGGGTCTTCATAATCTTTTTTAAGAAAGTTATTGTTCTTTCATACATGTTGGTTTGAAACTCACCACCTCGTGTGAATTTCGTGTGAAAAGTTTCCTTTACTACACAAATTTCCCTCTAGGAAATTCTAAAGCACGATGATTTACCTTTTGTTCCATGTCATTATCAATTTTGATTTGTTGGTCATTGTTTAAAGTCAGTCAAGAATCAAGCTCAAACACTGCATGATCGAAAGTGTTTATTGTATATATTATTTTAAGAAAACAGCACACTTGCGTGAACAAAGACCTGAATCGGTGTGATGAGCAATATATCACAATCGATCGAGATCATACCGAGAAACATACGAAATTGTGAGAGCAGCACTCCAAACGCAATTTTAGCTGCAATCCGAGACCGAACCGTCTGCAAATAACTAATTCAATTAGTTAACAACCAAAACACTCGAATAACTCGAGAACAAAACCTATGCGAAAACTAATTTAATCAAATTATCATGCATGAGGTCCGGTACTAATAAAAATATGTGACCTCTTCGATCGGTTCCCATCCGTATATAAATTTTGAGTTATACATTAACAAAGCTAGGGCAATACAAGTGAAGGTACATCACACAATTACCAATCCCATTTAAATTACCTCAGCAAATCACAACCGCCGCAAAAAAAAAGTCTCTTCCACTGGCCATAGACAATTCCACCCAGATCGCAACAGCCGCAAAGTTGAACGGAATTATCCCTCACCACAGTGGTTTGGGAGTGCCGAACCAAAAAAAAAAAACATCCTCCTAATCCTGGCATAATTCCGTCGTTCTCTCGCTTCCTTGCCATTCTGAATCATAAACAAGTTTGTCGTCTATCACAAACAGGTTTTTCCAAGGTCTTTCCCAGGGCTTAATTCTCCTGATGTAACTGTCTTCGGCATCACGTGGTTGGTTGCTTGCCATGCTAGGATGGAGAGCCTTAACTTATTCTGACAGTAAGCAGCAGAAGCCTGGTTGGAACGAGATGGCTGAAGCACAAACGAAACCCGACAACTAGCTTCTAATGAAAGTTTAGTTGCTCCTTGAAATTCCTACCTCTACCCAAAAATTAACCCGAAGCTACGGCACGGCTGCCTGAGCGAGTTACAAAGTTGGAAAACTTTCCAACCGTCTGCTACTGGTGCTTCTGCTCCGGTGAGGCGTATCCGGAATATTCATAAGTTTCTGCCTTCCATCCCGCAGCCACCAGCTGCCCTCGAGAACTGCTTCATTTGAGAGTGGATGTTCTCTCGCATGAATAAGCAATAGTTAATCTCTGATCTTGCCTTGAACTATGTGACGGTGCTAGTAGCACCTGGTTTGAACTACTTTTCCCGCGTCGCACGGCCACTACTGTTGTCATTGTTCCAGTTCGTCCTTAGTTCAAAGTAAGCCACATTTTCTCTTTCACACATATGCCAAGCACGCATCGGTAGTCGTAATTTACCTGGCGTTGACTGAAGGGGAATACGTTCCTGAAGATTCCTATCCGCAGTCGTTGGCAGCCTCAGGGCTCTGGTAATGGGCGATGTGACCCTTAAATATCATAAATCTGATTATAACATGGTTTTAATCCCTCAATAGTTTCAAAAGAACTATTAAAGTTTGTGCAATAATTGGAATAAAGCAGTCAATATGTATTCTACACATGTGTCCCGTACCAATCCCCTAGGACCGTCAGTGCTAACAGAATTGTGGCATTGTAGGCACCTGAATGGCATATTCATTTCGACACATCTCTCTCTCGCTCTCTGTGTCTGAGTTCTTACTTGAAAAGCGTCGTACTGCAAGTAATCGATTCCACGATCCACCTCTGCGTCCCATTGCTCTTATTCAGTGACCAGAAGAATGTGGTCAACCGTATATTACCGGAGAGAATTATATCCCTCTAGTCGGACGTGCGATAGAGATCTTAAAGTTCTGCACTGTTGAACTCACCCATTAATGCGACGTGTAGTGTGACAATCATTCATCGTTTCACCTCAAATTAGATTGCGCAGCTCTCATCGTCAATCACCCGGGGTAGGCATGCAATATAGAGCTCATTGAGATGAGTTATTAGATCGGACTGACGCAGCGTCGCATCGTGCTGCTTCCTCAATCCACATGAACAGGATATCGACGCTCTGAAACGTCCCGAGGTGGAAGGGAAATTGACACAATTTGCAAGTCTAATCGGTTTTGTGAAAGCAATTACTCACACGAGTAAATGTTTCGTCACCCGCTTCCAATTAATCGACGGCGATAATTATCACTGCTCAAATAAGATTTTCTTCACCCCACTGAGTCTGAAGACAAATCGTCGATTGATGCGATCGCAAGATGATGCTACACACACGCACATACACACACACGCAGGCACTCGTGATTTACGTTGATTCGATATCAATCAGATTGCATCCCATTTCGTTCCAAATCCATTTTCTGTGATGCACGATAAACCGTAACAGCCATCATAAAATGCACCTCCGAACGGAGGCCAGCCGATGCGAGAGCCTGTCACACATAGCAACTCTGCGGCAGTTCCACAGCGTGCATTAGCCCTGTCACTGAAAACCTACAATTATTGATTAAATTTCCAAGCGCAGCAGCAGCCTTCTGACCAAATATTTCCCCCCTATTCTCTGTTTATTACGCAGGATTATGCAGCGGGCGCCCGGAGCCGTACATCTCGACCATGGACATCGACGGACCGACGGTGGCACCAAAATTTATGACCCGGGGCCACCTGTACAAGGCCATCATCGGCGACTCGATCGAGCTGCCGTGCAAAGTGAAAGACCTCGGTGAGTGTTTGCTTCCTTTCCCTGGATTGCTATTTATTGATTGACATCAATATAAATATCTGCCAGTTTCGTCGGGAATCTCCATAAACGAGAGCAACTCGCATTTTGTGTAGATGCGGAGGAACCGGTAGCTAATGTTTGGAATTCGGTTGCGACATGGGCTCGGTTTTAATAAGCTGGATGGTCCATCAGACACTCTGAATTGGAGATGTTTGTGGTGAAATCAGTGCAGTATTAGCGGCATGGCGATGGTGAGCTAAAGCCAGGGCCCCCAATTTGGAGGGGACCCTCGACTCAGATACATCAATCATATCCTTCTCAATAGTATTTTTCAAGACATTAATCGTTGGTCAGTTTTGTATTTGTATCGAACACTAAAGCTTTTAAAACTTGAATACAGTACCGCCTAGAATGCACTCGATTTTATCTTTTAAATAGAGCGTCCCTGGTGGAGAGTTTCTCGGCTAAAGTTGTGCATTTCATAATATTAAGAACTGCTGCCTTAGACGTCAAATGGCCTATGATTTACAAGAAGCCGACCTACTTAACCAATTACCGTATTAAAGGCGTTTTCACAATTTGTTAGGAATATAGTCATATGGGGCAATTCTGCCAACCAGCATGAACATCAACTTATTGAACATATTTTTCAAAAAAAATCTGTTGCAAGCTTAATGATTGAAGACCACTTGAGCTATCTATTCCATTTCAGTGTAAACAATTATATTTCTTTAATTATAATATTCAAACAATGTTAACAGTGATGTGGTTGTTGGTAGTCGCAGGAATTCAACGACTACTTAGCTTCAAACCGAAAAAAAAAAATGTTTACAAAATAGGTAAAATACAGCAATCTAATGAGAGCCAAATCTCTCCGCAAATGTTATATATTTTACCCAAGTCAGTCCCCTCGAACACTTGCGCCCCTAAATAACAAGTTCGACGAAAAGTTTAAAAAATATTTGATTTGAAATAACTAGCGTCTGATATACATGTTCAGGTAAATTGAAAAAATCAATAAATTTGCAATTGCATGCGTCCCTGGTAGAAAATTTCAGAGAAAAATTATCAAAATCGTAAAATTTGAAATGTTTTGCGCCCCTGATAAAGACGTTCTGGGAAACATTTAAAAAAGATATATTTGAAATGACTTGCGCCCCTTGTTAGCATGTTGAAAATAATTAAAATCATTCAATTTAAAGTGGATAGTGCCCCTAATATACATGTTCAGATAAAAATTTAAAAAAAAAAAGTTTAATCTGAGAAATCTTAAAAAAAATATATAAAATACGAAATAGCTAGCGCACGCTATGTCTGAAGGCACTTTTTTTGCAACATTCATGTACCTCAGATTTTATTTCACAGGATATTAGTATTGATCCTAACAATCAAATCCGTAGTGGTTTTAAAATATTTCATCTTGGGTTTTTTTGAGAACAAGTGTTTTGAAGTTAACAAAGCTGATTATGAAGGCGTATATGGACTATTGACCATACCACTATTACGAATTGAACAAATGCAGTAAAATAAGGTTCAAAAGTTGATTGCATTAATCCAAATGGCATTAAAGAAGTTTTCTTTGACTCCCAAGTAAGATTCATATTGATTTTGTCGACTTTGTGATAAATCAATTAATATATGTTCGTAGTACAATATCTTGCTTAATTTCTCTTCCCTCATAAAAGTAAAAGAGAAAGAAGCGAGCAGGACAGTCCGAGACAGCCACGTAATCATAGTAGGCATTGATTTTCGTCCAATTTCGAGTGTTTTTTTTATGGATGTATCGTGTAGAAAATTAAAAAAAAAATCTCATGAAGAAAATAGAGACCTCGCTTGTCGTGCTTCGAAAAGCGACTCTGTTAAAAAATGAAGCCGCTTTAGTAGCGACGATCGTTGAAAGATTTTTACCGGAGTTCAATAAAGGAGATATTAGTTATTCGAAAGTTTTGTGTCTTGTACTCAGCAGCTGTCGAAGCTGGTATTTACCACTAAATCATCCTGAGGGGCGGAAAATTTGCTTGGATTTTTAAAAATAAATAGAAATGTTTGACTCTATAATACAGGAATGAAACTCACACCTCTCTTGCCCAGTGAGTAGCCCTCACCTTGAATTACTACAGAGTTGCTAGAGCTTCATTGCAGTTCCTAAACTCTAAAGAAGTGCTTCGATCTTCAGAGAAGCTCTATAAACGTCAGGAAAATTATGCCAACTTCAGGGACGTTTTGTGAGCTTCTGCGGAGTTTAATGTCGTTCTGGTAAGTTCTACGAACTTCAAGAGAGCTCTGTGAACTGTAGCAACATTATATGAATTTCAATGATGCTCTGCAAAAAGTTCTTTAAACGTGAAGAAATTTTGGCAAACTTAAGGATGTGAACCACAGGGAAAATTTAATAACATTAGGAAAGTAGGGTAACTAATGATGGTTGGACCTATTTAGACCGGTTTCACACAACGTCAACATTCATGTCGTATTTTTTTTATGAATTCAACATATAATTTTGAAAAATGCGTGATTAGGGGAAAGATCTACCTTTCTTGTTTCTAATAATAACATGAAAAGTTAAATATTATGAACAAATGATTTTATAAAACGTTTTTATTCAGCAAAGAATTATGATGTTGGTTGGACCTATACTGATCTTGGTTGGACCTAAAAAATGATGATGGTTGGACCTATTTTTGCAAATGCTAGTTTAGCCCATATTTGTTCAAAAACTTTGTTTAGAGCTTATTGAAATTATGAAAAAAAAACCCTTTTTATACAGTTTTTATGAATTTGCTATTTAAAAAAATCAAGAAATTTGAGTTTAACTTCGTTTTTAAAAAAGTTCACTTTCCACGCATTAGCTATTCATCATGGCTCATTTTCTCGGAAATCATTGACCCGATTTGGAAATTTTTTAACGGCAAACTATAGGTATTGTGGTCTCATTGAAAGTTATTTAATATTTTTGGAATCGGTCAACTGGTTCCGGAGATATGGCCGGAACAAGTTCCAGGGTATATGGAACATGGACCTAATTTTGACATGGAAGGAGTAAAACCTATCATGCGACACTTCACATTACTTCCAAATTCGATAACAAGATCAATAACAAAATTGAGTGCCTTGGACCACATTGGTCACTTCCAGGCATGATCTGGGTGCCCCCGGGGAATTTAGGGGCTTCAAATGACAGAATATCAGAACTTAATTCCGGTTTTAACGTTTTTTTTTTCTCCTAGGAGTTTTTTTTTTCGGAAATAAGTTTCAGTTAGCAATTTTTAGTTTGTTAACATTTTATTTCAAGTAAATTCACACCCAGAAGGTGTATGAGAAGTGCTTTATGTAAATTCATACTAACAGATTTTTTCGACGCTTTCGTGGTAGTTCGGAAATCAGTGGTTACCCTTTCAGCCAACCTGACGATGGAATTCCTCCTTTAAATTTACGCCCAACTAGGGACGCAAGGTCTTTAGCAGCTTCCAAGATCTTTTTGGTCGTCTTGGGACTGCCAGAAGCAGCGCACATACAAACCCAATCCCCTAGCTGGTTCTCCAAATCAGCACTCAACACTATTTCCCTTCAATATTTCTTGCCGTGGGTGGCTTCTCTTAATTTTTGCGTGAAGTGTCGTTTTAGGAATATTGTACCTTTTCTGTGCCTGATACGCGGTAAGTGATTTATTTCTTACTAAAAAAAACAGCCTCTTGAAGATTTTCGACCGTATAACTCTTTTCTTTAGCCATTTTTTCAATCGAAGAAACTGGTCACTCGGCCAAAACGAAATCGAATTTCAAATCAGATGCGCATGAAGGATGTAGACAAACCGAAGCGCACCTAGCGGCCGTCATAGGAAACACATAGGTCCAACCATCATCATACGTAGGTCCAACCATGATCATATTTATCTAATCGAATTTCGTCAATTATTCAAACATTTTAGTGAAACCAATGGATAAATGGCGTACTAACGTGTTGTTTACACCTTAAAACAGTATTTTACTGCATGAAAATAAAAATAAATATACAAAATATTCCCTTTTTGTATGTTTGAAAGTAAGGCATGATGACGAGCTAATGCGTGGAAAGTGAACTGTTTTGAAAACACATTGAAACTCAATTGTTTTGAAGTTTTTTCAATAAAACACCCATGCAAATTGGAGAAAAAGAGTTTTTTTAATAGTAAAGTGATCTTTGAAAATAAAAAAATCAGCGAAGATTGACTAAACTAGCGATTGAAAAAATAGGTCCAACCATCATCAGTTTTTGGATAGGTCCTACCAGAATCAATTACCCTACTGTGAAATTTAAGAAATATCTGAGAATTTCAGGTAAAAAATGCCAAACATCAAGAAAGTTTGAAGAATTCCATCGAAGTTCAAATCAAGGAAAAACAGGGCTTTGAATTTGGATGAAACTTTTATAAGCTGTTTCATCGGGTCGTTGGTGGAACAACTCCCTTTCTATGTCTTAGAAAACAGGTATAGTAGAAAGAATAGCTTGTGTTATCTCTTTCGCTTTTACGCTGCACATGAGCAGGGTAAAAATGAAAGTTAACTATCTAAAAAAAATATCGTGAGTACGACTCACGCATGTTACATTGCCGTTTACTGGTATAAAAGGGAGCAGTTTATAAAAATTGAGGTTCACAAATATCCAGAAGCAAGATGTTAACAAGTAGTTCAAACCAAACTCGATCGTCAAAGATGTGCGGGTTTGTAGATATTTGTTAGAAAAAAACACCACAGAAAAAAAAAAAAAAAATCATACATATTTGCAATTTATGTCTGACGCAGGTTTCTCCTAGAAAACGTCATGCATGTAGTGAAAACTACTTGGTCTCCAAAAGCAGGCGAAAAACTAGCCGAGGTTATTTTTGTAAACGTCGCAGGAAGACCATTGGGTTTAAATTTGAAACAGTTGGGAAAAAAATCTAAGATTTCTCACGAAGATTTACTCAGCTTTAAGAAAGATCTTAATTTGAGTGCTAGTAGTGTCAGTGTGTAACTTTATAT